TCCCTCCCCTTGATGGGCATATGAAAAGTGCCCTCATGGGTGTCACTGGCTACCCAGTGACCCAGAAGTACCTTAAATAGTACCTCCAACATGAAGGGAGGAAAATTATTCTATTCATAAATCGGACAGATTTTGTAGTGGATGCATGGAAGACTTTGTGAGGAAGCTGGGTGGATATCTATAGTTTGGAGCATGCTATATTTCTCCTTTTTTATTTCTGCTTTTTGGGAGTTTTAGCTTATTGCAGTACATTTTTGTTGACAGAGTCTGACACAGCTTCTTATATGGTCGCACACCTATGTTTATAGTTTGCCATTGTTTTTCTTGCTGATGAAAGGAGAGCTGCTGTTCTTCTTTTCCTATCATTCTGATTACATGGAATTATATATGGTTCTAAAATATGATCCCTTTTGATAATAATCATGAATGTATCCTCCATATAATAGAGCCATATAGATTGCATTTGTGGGAGGACTAATTTTTTTTTCAGGAGTTGCTTTATTATTTCTGTTAATGAAACTTGAGATGAATGATCTTTTGGTGTCTTTTCAATGGGTTTGTATATTTGTCCATCAAACTGGAACTTCAAATTGATGAAGAAGACAGTAAGGTCCTAAGCCCACATATTTGCATGTTTACAAGTTCTGCTAGGCAGGGTGTGTAGTGTAGTATTGTTGCAATTGAGATCTTCATCGGTTCTGGATCCATGTGTGTGAAGAATGGAATGGCATTAATTAAACCATGATTTCATCATTTTCCTCAATTCTCTTCAAGCAGACACATCTATTCAATGGTTAATACAACTCTGTCCTCTACTGGATCAGTTTTGTCTAAAGAGAGTTTGATTGCTTGATGACCTTTGTATCTAATAACTTGATGATTTTCCATTTTAAGTACATAATTTTCCATTTTTGAACACATATTTTTAACATCACCTTTGCCAGATATTCATGAAGACCACTTACAGTTAATTTAGAGCTGTATAGACTGTAATTAACTTTCCAATGAAGATAATTTCAAAACAAAGAACTGGATGCTGTCAAAAGTGAGGCTTTTTATAATTCAACAGTTCCCTTAAAAATAAGATGATTATCTATTTACTTTTAGTAGCAAAACCAATTATTGCTCAGTGTTTGAAATTTCTTGCACATTTAACAACTGATTTGTGAACGTAAAAATCTTAGAATAAAGAAGTCCCAGGCGCAAGAATCATACTTTTGTCAAATCAGGTTATTTTTATGATGTTAATTGTCATGGGTGTAGTTTTGTCGACTCTCAGAATACATGGAAACTTTCTATTTATTTATTGGTTTTATCATTACAATTTTGTCCACTCTTTATTTAGTTCTTTCTTCTTTTGTGTAAATTATTTACTTAATTAAAATTAAAATAAATTTCCAGTCCCAAAATGTGAGGCTGTTATACTCTATATCTCCATCCTGGCAGGAAAAGAAGATACTGAGTATGATTTTTATTACAAATAAGACTTGTATGTTATATTCCACCCGTTCATCAATTTGTTATTTAATGGGTTCCTTACTTTTTGTGATGATCGTATTAAAGACCTGTATCCTGGGAGGTTCTAATATTATCTAGGAGGCTTAAGGTTGCATTGGATTCCCAATTTTCTTTAAAGTGCCTAACCTTCCACTTTATTAGACACCATAACATTATCCATCTCTGCAACTTCAATGGATTTACTCAAGCAAATGTTTGAAAAAAATTGTAGAGCTGGTGATCGTCATAACTATCAATGTTACCTCCATGAGAAGAAAGGTTGCTAATATATCTTGAGTTTTTAACCGAACGCTATCACTCTGCTAAACAAATAATTCCCTCAACACTGTTCAACTATTTACAAAGTCTGTACTACTATTACTATTAATCCTCTCATCACTCCTTATCATCCCACTTGTATGACTGTAACTTTGTCACTTGTATCCTTACGGTTTATATTGACTGTTTCCTAGTATGATTTGATTGCTTTTTGTACCCTATGACTATTATTAAGTGTTGTACCTGATGATTCTTGACTCTTGACGAATGCATCTTTTCTTTTATGTACACTGAGAGCATTTGCACCAAGACAAATTCCTTGTGTGTCCAATCACACTTGGCCAATAAAAGAATTCTAATTCTAATTCTTGAGGGCAGGAATGTTTGATGTCTGCCTCCCCGAGTACACCTCCCCTCAAAAAAGACAACTTCTGTCCAGAACTTAATCCGGTTATGAGCTGAACTTATCTTCATTACAGGTAGTGCTCGACTTACAATAATTCGCTTACTAATTGTTCAAAGTTACAATGGCACTAAAAAAAATGACTTATAACCATTTTTCACACTTATGACTGTTGCGCATCTCCATGGTCACGTGATCTATATTTGGATGCTTGACAACTGATTCGTATTTATGACAGTTGCAGTGTCCTGGGGTCATGTGATCACCTTTTGCGATCTTATGACAAGCAAAGTCAATGGGGAAACCAGATTCACTTAACAACCGTGTTACTAACTTAACAATTGCAGTGATTGACTTAATAAATGCAAGAAAAGCTGTAAATTGGGCAAAACTCAATAAATTTCTCACTTAGCAACATAAATTTTGGGCTTAATTGTGGCCATAAATTGAGGACTATCTATATAGACAAATGTTTCTGTTATGTGACCATTATTTTCTAGAATGAATCTGATGATACTATAGATCAGGAGTGGGCAATCAGCTATGGTAACTTTACAACCTGTGGACTTCAACCCCCAGAATTTCTGAGCCAAAATGGCTGGCTCGGGAATTCTGGGAGTTGAAGTCCACAAGTCATAATGTTGCCATAATTGCTCATCCCTGCTATTGAAGATTAGTGTGGCAACTCTGCTTTTTGAAAAGCTGGAAGATGTGGTAGTTGCCATAGTTGCCATGGGAGGTCAGAGTTACAATTAAAATTAAAATTAATTCTGAAAGCTAGATCCTCTAACTATCTTTGTCCTACTCATTTCTCATTCATGGAAATTTGCAGAGATATTACAAAAACTTCTACTGAGACTGAAGAGATTTTTTTTAATGGAATGAAAGCATCTATGGATAGTCCTCGACTTATGACCCAAATGGAACTTGCCCATTATGGTTGTAAGTCATGATAGCTATAAAGTGGGTGACCATGTGGCCGACCTGATTTTATAATTGTTTTTCTCAGCAGTTTTTAATGACCACCATGGTCATTAAACGAACTCATTTGCCAAAACCGGAAAACAAATTCCAGATTTCAGCAAAGCATTGTAAATTGTGGTCATGTGATTGCGGGTTGCTGCAAATGACCGTAAATGCGGGCAGGCTGGTATCCAAAATGAGGGGAAAGCCATTACCTTTGGGGAGGGGGTTCCATTGTAACTTTCAACAGTTGCTAAGCGACCGGTCATAAGTTAAGGACTACCTATATCTTTTGTTCTCTGCATTGACTCATCAGTGGTAAATGTTGATGCAACATTTGGAACAACCTCTCCACTCTGAGTACTTTACAACAAGTTGCAAATAACAAGTGGAAGAGATTGAAGCCTACACAGCACCAAAGCAGAGTAAGAAAATGTACCCTAGTTCTCTTTGACAGGAATTGTTTCTGGGAGAACTGTGGCAGAAGGTGCTGGTATATCAGAAATACCCCTATTTTCAAAATACTGACTGGTTTAATATGGTGGCCTAACATAATGTTTGAAGTAAATTTTATTAGCGAGAGATTTTAAGACATTTTAAGGTGGAAGCTGACAGTTTTCTGGCTAAAAGAAGACAATCATAACCTCACAGGGGTGTTATTATTGTGGGGAACAATGATAGGAGATTCCTAGGTGAGTCAGATTGAGCTCCTGGAAAAAAGACAGGTTATAAATGTAGCATAGAGAGCCAGCTTGATCTGATGATCCAGGCTAAAAATAGGGAGGGTGTGAGTTCAAGTCCTGCCTTAAGGCATGAAAGCCAGCTGGATGACCTTGAGACTAATGACCCCACTCTCTCTCAGCAAAACCCACCCCACAGGATTATTGTAGTAGTAGGAAAGTGAGTTAGATATGTTTTCCTTGAGTTGTTTGTAAAAATAATAAAGAAATAATACAAATAAATTAAAATATATATGATGAAAATAAATAACTGTTCACAATAAATATCTGAAGGGAAATTAGCATAACTACTGTACATGGAACTAATGAATTGGCAAGGAAACAACTACAAGGATGAACAGAAAAAGAAAACCCCAAGTATATACATTATACTAATCAGATTTAACATGATCAAGAGACCCAGAAAAAAATTCTCAAACCATCCAGCAAAGCATAGCTAACTGCATTTTGCAATGGCATCTTGTGCCGGTCAGCTGGCACTTCCTGTGGTTGCGAGTGTGTGTGTGCGATTTGTCAATTTTACATTTTCAGCGACAACAAACCCTGCTTTTGTGGTGAAAAATCATTCATCTTGGTTCAAAATTAGAGCAAGCGAACTATTCCTTTAGAAGGGACTCTGGCCAATTTTTCAACTTTTCTTTCCCTCTTGATGTTTTTGGACAGAGAAAGTCTGCTTAACCAGAAAAGATCCATTACTCCTGAAGACACAGAAGATTATAGAAACGAATAGAATAATCTATAACAGGACATGGATACCCAGGGTTAGCATTTTAACCACCCTTTAACGGATGGTCTGAGTTTGAATGATGCAATACCATCGTATTATCTGGAAGTGCTCAGAATCAAATCCGAGAATTTTGCATACAAGATTTGCTAAATAACAGCTCCGCCTTGAGTCTCTCTGGCTGAGTGCTCAATCATCATCGTCAACCCTTGCAAAGTCAACCTTTGCAACTTCATTTATGACTTGTTTTTCAATTCCGTCCCTCTCTGCCATCAACCCATCGACCCATCAACCAGTCTTTAAAAGATAGGAAACAGCAGAGGACCCCAACCTTTCACTCAAGGTTGGTGGGATTTACAAAGACCTTCCTCCTTTGCCCACAAGACCAGCTTACCTCGCAGACAGAGTCCAAGCAGCAGGGTGAACAAACCGCGTGGAAACACTAAACCAGTCATGGTGAAGTGGTGAAAAACAGGTGCGAGATATCACTTTCCAGAGTGCATGGCCAGAAGCGCACACCACCAGGTCACTAGCTTGATATGCCTTTCTCCCCCCAAAGCCACCGATGCTCAACTCCCAAAACAGAAATGGGAAGAAGTGAGACTGAATTTCGACATCAAATAATCTTCTGCACAGCAAGATTTGAAGGGGAGGGAGGAGTGAAAAGAGGAGGAGAGAAAGCTTCTGACATTTGACATGACCAACTTAAGTTTTAAATATCAGGGTTCCTGAGCAACCCTCGGAAAGTTGGTGCAATGCTGTATCTTTAGCATCTGATCAACTGGGATGGGATTGTACGGATTTAATAAAAGCTGCCTGAGAGACAGGCACCACACATCTTTAAAATTATATAATGCAAGAATTAGCAGTATGTTTGGGTAGTGAGTCGCACTTTTCCCGTTTTGCAGCTTCTGAGGGACCCTAGAAAGTTTGTCAGGGCAGACAATTTTTAAAAAAATCTGTTTTTTTTCCCCCTGTGTTTGCTTTGAGAGTCTCTGAGGAGATTTTAAAAGGTACAATTTTTATTTATTGATGAGGGTTTTTTGATCGCACCTTTTTTACTTTATAAGTGACTCAAGGCACAAAAACAACATACTGCTCCTTCCTCCATCTATCTCCTCCACAACAACTCAGCAAGATGGGTTGGGCAGACAGACAGTGATTACCCCAAGGACACCCAGCCTAAGGCAGGACTAGAACTCACCATGTCCTGGATTCTAACCTAGAGCCCGAACTACTTAACCAAACGGGTTCTTATCCCCTTTGCTTCTTTTTGTTGGCTCCAAATCACACAAAATTTAATTTTTTGGCTGGCAAATGACGGAGTAGTATTTGAGAACCCCAATCAACGCTTGGGGCCATACAAGAATCGTGAGTCACTGGTTTAATCTCCTTTGCTTTAATAATTTAAGGGTTTTTTTCTCCTCTAGACCAGAATTCGATAGTCCATGTCGCTCCGGCAGACCCATTTTTGACTTGTACAACCCCACAAGGCCACACTGCCCTCTTCAGAGATGAATTATAGCAGAGTTTGCCAACAGATATTCGCGCACATGGAAGCATGTGAGAATGTGTTAATTTCTATTTTGTTAACCAAAATTCAAGGGTTGGCACTGCAGGTAGCCAGCCAATAAGACAGCGGGGTGCAATCCTGAAATATGCAAACTCAGCCAGACTGTTTGAAGCAAAAAGTTCGCTTTACCTAAGGCTAAAGACAGCCATGGCTCCAGAGTTAAGGTTTGGCTTGGGTCAAGACCAGGAATGCAGTAAAGGTAGTCCTCAATTTATGACCAAAATTGAAACCAAAATTTCTAATGCTAAGCAAGACACTTGTTAAGTAAATTTTGCCCCGTTTTATGACCTTTCTTGCCACAGTTGTTGAGTGAATCATTGCAGTTGTTAGGTTAGTAAGACGTGGTCATTAAGTGGATCTGGCTTCCCCATTCACTTTGTTAGTCAGAAGATTCCAAAAAGGGATCACACGATCCCGGGACTCCGCAACTAAATATGAATCAGTTGACATATGTTTGAATTTTGATGTCATGATCACATAATCATAACTGTGAAAAACAGTCATAAGTCACTTTTTCAGTGTTGTCATAACTTCGAACATTTACTAAATGAACTGTCGTAAGTCGAAGTCTACCCATAAACTAATGCAAGAGACAGACACCAGACCAGGTGAGTTCAAATCCACATTTCGAAGCACGGCATAGCAAGGAAAACACAGAATAAGAGAGTTGGAACGGAGGGACCTTGGAGGTTTTCTAGTCCAACGTGACAGAGCTGAGGCTTGAAAAGGTGGTGTGCCATTAAATAAGAGAAAAAAACACACACACACACACACACACACAGACACACACACACACCTCTGCCCCGAATGCTGAGCTGTAGTCCCTGATTCTCTGGAGGGATAAATATGAGGACGTGCTCTGGTTTACAACCTGCTTTTCGTATACCGGATTCTTTTAAAAAAAAAGTTGCAAAAGAAAAAGAAGAAAAATGAAAGGATGAGGAAACTGTTTAATTGTGTTTAAGTGTTCAGTTTTTTAAAAATAAGAACTCTGGAACTTTCAGGATTGGGAATGTCTTTATACTGACCTCTTCAGAAGTTACAACGGCACTAAAAAAAAGAAAAGAAAAGGTGCCGTTATTTTTTCCACGCTTACGACCGTTGCAGCATTCCCATGGCCGTGTGATCAAAATTCAGATGTTTGAGAACCGATCCGTATCTGCCTGCGTCGAGGTGGAACATTCGTTAGGCACGAGCAGGGCAGGCAAGAGAAGCAGATACTATTTTGAGGAGAGCGTATTTTCAGCTTCGGTGCAAGGCAACCCGCAGGTAGAAACCGGAGGAAATGAAAGCCAGGCGAACAACAGGCGACGAGGAGGCCTTGATGTAGATGCAAAATGGGCTTCCTGTTTCACCACCACAGGAAGTGGTGGGCAGAGGCAGCAAGATACGCGCGCAGCAGACATTCCTGCCCTGTCTCATCGCTTCAGCAAGAGACCCATTATGGTAAGAGAACCCAGAAAATATCCCCTCGTAGCCTTCATCGTCTTTCCTCAGAGCAGTAAGTCTTGAGATGACCTTTCTTTGTCTGGCCTTCAGGATAAAGATTACGTCGGCTTCGCTACATTGCCCACCCAGGTCCACAGGAAGACTGTGAAGAAGGGCTTTGACTTCACGCTGATGGTAGCAGGTAAGTCGTTACACCATAGCTTTCCCCGTTGGAGGAAATGCCAAAGTCCCTACTCCCCATCTTAGCTCACCAAGCCCACCTGCTTTCTGCCCCTGGCCTCTTGCACCTGTTTTCTCTTCCTGAACTGATTTAGGCACACGGGGTTTTGTGGTGGTGCAGCATTCACACATAAGAGCTAGATTCAGAAGAAGCACTTGGTACCCATTGGGACCACAGCTTTCCTCTGCTATTCATTGAAGCAAGCTAATGGGACTTTTCTTCTTCTTCTTCTTCTTCTTCTTCTTCTTCTTCTTCTTCTTCTTCTTCTTCTTCTTCTTCTTCTTCTTCTTCTTCTTCTTCTTCTTCCTCCTCCTCCTCCTCCTCCTCCTCCTCCTCCTC